AGGTCTCGAACAGCGACGTGTCGAGCGTGGGCGAGAATAGCATGAACCCGCTGGACTGCGCGGATGCCTTTCAGTACTACTACGGCGCCGAGGGCACGTACCACGATGTCGAGAGCGCCGTTTTTCATAACCCACGCCGAGCCCAGTGCGGCTCGCAGGACTACCGGTACCGCTACCAAACGACCTGGCGGCCCCCCGCCGACGACGGCGGGGGGGATAAGGGCCCGTCAGGGCCGCCGCTGTGGTCCGTGGTGGATCAGCTCCGGGCATTCTGCGCCCTCCATCCGGACGACCCCGCGCTGTCCTGGCGCTCCGTGACGTCGTATAAAAAATACCCCCACGACCCCGCGCCCCCCCTACGGCGGTGTTTGTACTACATGGGGCCGCCCCACACCATGACGTGCGCGGCGCTGTGGGCGAACATCGAGGCCTTCGGCCAAGGCCTGCGCTCGCTGGGGCTGAAACCCAGCGACCCGGTGGGTCTGATGGAGGACACCCGCTGGGAGTGGCTGGTGACCTGCTATGGGTGCTGGTCCCAGGGGCTCGTCCCGGTCGTCTTCCACGGCGCCGACAGCTGTCTGCGGCGGGTCGCCATCGAGGTCCTCCTGCGCACCAAAGTAGCCGTCTGCCAACGCCATGTCATGGACCGACTGCGGCGGTACATTCAAGAGGCGGTCGCGCTGCATGAGAGCTACTCAGGGGAAGGTGAGGGGGGTCGCCAAAAGACACGCGAGGCGCCTCACCGAAGCGCTCCCCCACGCCCGCTTTTCATCGTAATGCGGCAGTCAAACATCATGGATGCCCAATCCACGCACCTTCCATGCGACACCCCAAGGAATGACGCGAAGGTCATGACCGATAGTTCAAACCCGCAGCACCATCGAGACGAATCGGATGAGGAGGAGGAGGCGCTGTGGTGGACTGAGGTCTTGGAATATGGCAAGAAGATTATCTTTCAACGGAATGCGAGGCAAAATCATCAACGGCGGAAACCGCGAAGCCACGTTTTAACAAGTCTTCAAAAAGCTTATAAGTATGATGAAGACAATCTCATTGTAAATTCGCCCCATTCAGCGAAGAAACAGCCCCGCACTGTAGGCGTCGATGCTGTTTCACGACGCAGAGATGTGCAAAAACACTATGACCTCACTCCAAACTCGAATCCCTCAAATACTATAGAGGCTTTGCCCACGTCCTACGAGTCCATCCCGTTAGCGCCCGCAAGTCGATACCTAGCCCTTTCAAGCGGCGGTAGTACCAGTGGGCTGGTACCACTTCGCTCGTCGGACTTGGCATTAGTCGTCTACACCGAAGGGGACCCCAAAGGAGTCCTCCTCACTCACGGCGCCCTAGCCGCATCAGTCGCGGGGTATCGTGAGCGGTTTCTTAGCATGCAGCTCTTCACCCCATCTTTTGCTGACGACAGTGAAAATGGGAATTCAGATAGGCATGAGGAAGAGGATAAGGCTGAGCCTGATAAAGAAAACTTGCCCACGGGCGAAATAGTAGAAAGTCAACAAAGAAACACCAAATACCACCACGGCAAAGTTGAATCAAACGAGATTGATAGGAGTCATACTAACCAGGAGAAATGCGGGGGACAAGGATACTGCAAGAGGATATTCCAATACCTTTCGACGATAATGCGGACGAACCCCAATGGCGGTATTCGGAAATATCTGTGGCGCACCGAAGAGCCGCCATCAAGACGTCACGCAGAGGCACCAACCTACCTTGCTTATCTCCCACTTCACAACGTGCGGGAGTTGGTGCTGGAGATGTGTTTTCTCACGGAGGGGTTCCTGCTATGTTATGGATCGAACGCGACCCTCACAAACGCCGACGCCCATCCCAGGGGTGATCTCGAGCAGTACAAACCGCTCATCTTCAGCGCCGTCCCGCACACGTTAGATCAGCTCTGCCGCACCGTAACCCGGACCCTCGCCGAGGGCTTGCCCCGGCTCCTCTTTGAGGTTGGCTACGAGAAGCGCCGACAGGCCCTACGGCGTGGCCTCGACACGCCCTTCCTGAATGAGTTTATATTTGGGCAGCCGCGGCAGCTGCTCGGGGGGCGGTGCCAGTTGGTGCTCTCCTGCTGTGGGCCCCTGCATCCGCGCACGCAGGAGTACCTCAAAGTCGTCTGCTGCGTCGCCGTCTCGCAGATCTACGCCCCGACCGAGGCGGGGGGGTGCGGCGTGATGCAGGACCTTTGGGTCGACCACATGCGCAACATCGGGGGTCCGCTCGGCCCGGTCGAGATGAAACTTCGGGATGTAAAACAATGGAACCATCGTACGGTCAGGCCCTGCGGTGAGCTATTGCTCGGTGGACCTACAATCATGGCGGGCTACCATTGCAATCCGGAGAAAACCGCCGCCGTGTTGGAGAACAAGGGCTGGCTGCACACGGGCGACATCGTGGAGCGGCTTCCGGACGGGACCCTCCGCCAAGTGGCGCGTCTGGGGCCTCAGAATGTAAACGCGATGGGCTGTATTATGGACGTCGAATCGCTGGAGGCGATATATAATCAACACCCTCTGTGCGCTGCCCGACGCGACGCGGATAGTGGTGGTAGCGTGTGCGTTCTGGTTCACCCCTTTGGATCCTACATATGTGCCCTGGTCCTGACTGACAAACCCCGCACCACCGCATTTATCCAGGATGCGGCGACGCAGTCCTACATCGCAAGAGCCAGCCGCGCGGCATTGAAGAGGGGATCTCGCCCAGGTGGAAAAAACGAGGGTAGCACACGGGGCAAAAGTCAGCTCCAATCCTGGCCGCACTGTTTGTGTGAACCACTCTTCAACGAGGCTGCCGCGGAATCACTTCGAGAATTAGCGATGCAGCATCACTGTATGTCCCATGAGCTTGTTCACCACGTGCGGGTCCTCTATGATGAGTGGACGACCCAAAACGGCGCACGAACAGTCACCGGCAGGCTCGAACGCTCCGTGATCGAGCAACGATATCAAACTATCATCGAAGAACTTTTCCTCTGGAATGCGTAATATCACCATAAGCGATATCCACCGCAAGCGAAACTCCAACCCTCTCCCTTCCTCCCTTCCACATACACAAAGAAAAAAAAGAAGGAGGGAGAGGGGTAATCTTTTTACACACAAAGCGGTTTCATCTGGAATAATTTGTGCAGTATGCAATCTCCATGACTTTGGAGAGGTTTTTATATATATTTTCCCATTGTTTTCATATTGCATGGCCTTTCCTGAATAGTATTTAACTGGATTAAATCCAAGTGGATAAAATAAAAATCAGTAACACTGTTATCAGCCACCATTCATCGATCTACATCGACTGTGATACCGCATTCCAATTAGTGTCCAATGCGATACGGCCTTCCTTATACTAGCCGACTGAAGCAATCTGTGCAGGTGGCTAGTCAAAAAGGTACGCAACCAGTGGATGCCTCTTTTGGTAGCACTCCGTTTGGTATCCACAGCGAAATGGGGCTTAAATTTAATAGTGGTACTGATGAGACAATAGAATTCCTAAAGTCATTCCAAGACCCATAGTAGGAGGTATCGAAAAAGGAATCAATTTTGTCAGAAAGGTTCTAGAGCTTCACTCTAGAATATAGGAAAGTATATCGCAATAACAAATAGTTCATTGTGATACAAGACTGAAGAAATAGGGAAGAAGAAAAAGTACTAGTGAAGGAGAATGAGGACTATACGAGGTACAACTAACTTGCGGACCTATAACTTCCCTGACGAAAGTGGCTTAATTATTACTAATGAGTAGGATGGTGTTTACCCCCATACAATCTGGTATGACAACACCGTTTTAGTTACGGCAAATGATAACAAAATCCTTATGATTAAAAGAATACTCAGTCTTGGTACGTATTAGGTGTTTGTTCCTCCTACAAACACACTGAAATGCTACCCTTCATATTATGCATAATTATTACTACCACAATAGTATTATTTCAGCCACATGGCACGTTTTCTTGACTTGGTTTAAACCTCTTTATTATAACCTTCATGAAAAAAGGAAAATAAAGAACCGCCAAAAAAAATATGCATCCTAGTACTCTAAATATATATATATATATATATATACGTGTATGTGTGTACGCTTCTTACAGTGAACTGAGCGAACGTCTTTAGCCTTTTTTTTTTCTCCATGGAACGAAGGACAAAATAGTAGATATCATCAACAGAATACACAATAGGAATAACTAACAGAGAGTGTCCAAACATAAATATCAATAAAAGTTCAATGTTTACCGGTACCGCGAAAGCGAGCCTAGATTTCTATGCCCCAATGATGGATTGCAGGCAGCTGAACAAGGAAAAAATAGACCGACAGCGGGCTGATATGTATACCTCGTCGCGCGACTCTTACCTGAAGCTTAACCTGGAATCTCAAAAGAAGGCCAACAACTCGTTCCCCAAGGAGATATTTATCGAGAATAGCCAACGTGCGATAGAGCATGCAAAACATGTCGAGGCCGAGGAGAGCGGGGCCGCGCGGTGGCCTCAGGCCGGCATCGTCCCTTGCAACCGCAATCGTCTATGGCGCGAGAGTGGCTTTGTGTTCGACTCCGACTACTTCAAGACTGCGCCGACGACG